ACATTTGAGAGAAACACACATTGTATAATTCTCTGACAAAACCCGTAGGTGGGAATTGCTACTCCTGCTGTAACGATTCCGTTGTGGCATATAAGCCATCCCATCTGTGTACCAGAATGTCCTAAAACAAAATTACAAAAGGTTGTAATCATTCTTTAAATACTACATTGAGGATATAGAGCCATTATGGACCATTACCGCCATGAATGTTACCACAACCGTGCAGTATAATTACATTCCTTTAGTTTTCCAGTTTTTGCCTGGGATGCAATACTCAGAACAAAACAATCCAACATCTCATCTCTTATTTATTTGGGTATATACACCTATATATATACACACGCACCTACATATGGGTATAGATGTAGGTGCGCATATGTGTCCTGTGTGAGCTTTTTACAATACCTTCAGTGTGCCTCCAGCTTTTCCACTATCAGTCAATGGGCAATGACAGGCGCCTCCTGGTGCCAGCCGAGGCGAGAACAATGGGTTTTGCCTTTTACTTTGCAAATAAGCACGTACATATGCATCCGTGCTGTGTATCCAAGGCACTCGAGAGCAGAGGACGATCGTGATATTAGGGTCCAAGGGAATGGCAGCTTTGAGTATAGGAACATAGATGCTGTACCCCGTTCATTAATAGTCTGCATCTATGTGCTTATATCATTGTACGTGCTCATGTATGTGTGTATATGTCTGGTAGTGCAGTGAGTTAGCGCGCTGCCCTACGGACCCGGCGACATGAGTTCGATTCCCGCTCATGGCCAACACCAGTGACGATGGCCTGAAACAGCGCTGGGCCTTCCCTCGGTCGACTCAGCCTCAATTGAGTACCTGGTGCGATGTATAAACATTGCCACTGGGGAGACAAAGGTGGCCGGGCGTGGTGCTGGCTACCCACCCCCTCATGTGCCTTACCGGCCGGCCTTCATAGGTGCTCGCTCACAGCAATTGCCCCAAAAGTATGTTCAAGTTCAAGTTCATTTATTAGGTATAGCTCTGTGAGCCATTCGGCTCTTGAATCGGGTGCAACCGCAACAAACAAAAAACAAAAACATGAACAAAAAAACATCTTAAAGTGAATATGTGACTAAGTGCAAACAGAAAATCCAAGAAAAGACACCAAAATATTGCAGAAAAAAACACCGTACACCAACGCTGTGTGCAAAAATCCCAGTGGGATGCAAGTCAAACAACAACAACAACCATAAGACAACTTAGATTAAGGCCATCAGTCTAACTCTGTACTACAACACACAAACATGGCTAAACCAATACACTTTTCGAAATCAAAGGCTATATGGGGAATATTTGTGTTTGTAAATGTTTGGGGAGAGGTGGCACAGGCCAAAAGCACTCGCCACTGATATTAGCGATGGTGGGAATCAAGCTCAGGTTGTTGGGTTTGTAAGGCAGTGCTGATTAACACTGCACCATAGTTGCCGAATGTTTATGTACATATGTGTGCTGCCTTAATGGCCATAATAATGAACAAAATATGTTTCCAAACTTTTTAAATGGCAACTGGTCGAAGTGGCCAGATAGTTTGGGGCGACTAATGCCGTGCTCGAATGATGAGCCAGCATTACAGAGATGCTGGGTTTGAAACCGGGCAGCCACCCATGGTTAAACTTGGTTCTCATGTGTGCTAAGGTAATGGTGTCATCAATGACTGCACGAAAAAAACCCATTATTTCAAATTTGGTTTGTCACTTCAGTTGGCATATCACAGTTCTGAGGATTAAATCCTTAGATTGACTGCCATTTGAAGAACACTTTGTGAAGGGCATATGTGAACGTGTACCATCTAGTGTGTATAAGAGGCTTTTCGAAGGGACTTCAAAAATTAGCGCTGTTATCTCACCTTCAGGGTTGTTGTCTGATACATGATGATGCATTGCCCACTGAGAATCTCAAATGGAATTTCTCTCACTGTGACATGATGCCAATCGTAATATAAATTTGTGGTGGGGGGGGAGCAAATAAATTTTAAATACATTTTAAATAAATATATACAAAAAAATCACAAGCCTTGTATTGTTTTGGTCATTGGCCCATTTTTTTCCTCTGTGGAAGCCTGTGCTGTTCACCAGTTTTAATAAAACCGTCTATAATAGTAGGTAAGATATATGGCATGGAGGATGGTTGTATTTTCCATTCCAGTTCTCCAGGAGGCTATACATTGGCCTACGTGCAGCGAATGCTAATAGGTGTTTATCATCTCTGAAACGGTCATGTTTTCTGTAGACATGACCGATGCAATCTCTTATTAGCACAGTACATTCAGATTTTATTGTATACGTACTGTACTATATTTAAGCACATTTTACACATTGAGGTTGAGAGGGGAAAAAAGTATCGCTTATATAGAATAAGCCCCTGTACTCTTAGTGTGCAAACATACGGTTTTGTTTACCCAGAGTCTGCTTACTCAAATGGGTATGGTGCAGTGCTCATCTGCAATTGTGGGGGACATTTCCACATTCCTATGGTGGCTGCCAGTGCATTGCATATCACAACTTAATGCGCATAATCATATTGGAATTGTATATTGCGAATTTACTTGCCGTTTGTAGTTTAGAAAATTCGTGAGATTTCCCAGCAAAACAACAATCCTCAATTTATTATGATTAATACCGGCACGCTTTGAAGATCTTATTGTATTTTCTTTCTATAGAATGGAAGATGGCTATGGAAAAAAAAGTCCACAATGCATTCAACATCCCTTTAAACATTTTATTATAGGCACTGCCAATTTTCTGTTTTTGCTGCCAAGGATAACAGCAATGCTCACAATCCCCTCGTTTGTCGTGCAGCATGCAATTCTTCTTGGAATCCCTCTCACTTTTGATTTTGCTCACTTTCCCCCTCAGATGCCTTTTCCATTGGAAAAGGGATTTTTCACTTAAATCAGTGTTCTTCTGAAGTTCAAAGACACGGTGGAGAATCTTGACGCAGCCTGCCCATGAGAAAATCGTTCATTATTAAATCGCTGCTTTCTTCCCTTTAACGGGGCTGAACGTCAGCGGTGTCAAACTCATTAAGCGTGCGGAGGACTCCACCTTCACACAAGGCGGCTTTCTTCATGAACTTGTGCTGACCGTATCACTGCAGTGGCTCCGGTTGACTTCATCCTCTGCACTGCTAACGTATCTGTATGCCAGAGCGCACGCTCATATCCCAATTCCAACTAGCCCACTTACCCCAACGTCCTCTCCGTTTTCAAAGGGCGCAATATTCACTGGACTCGCTTGACAATTGCCGAACTGAACTTTAGTGCTGCCCGCTCATTTTGTGTCAGTCGTTTACTAATTGATAACAAATATACACGTACTATTTACTTACTCAGTCATGCATTCATAACCCAATGCGCAAAGGTGTAGTTCTATTCAGATAGATTTTTCAGGCAAAAAGATCCATGTCGAGGTCTTAAGAGCATGGTGAGTGTACACCAGCCCTGTTACTGTATTGTTTTGGTGTTGTTCACTGGAAAGAGCAGCTGTTGGCAACAACATAATGCCAATTAGTCAGATTTCGATTTAAAGCTTTCGTGACTGCAGGGATTCATCTTCTTGGTTCTTTCGGTAAAGTCACGTAGAATGGAAATAATAAAATAATAAAAATAAAACAAAATAATTATCACGACGTTTCGGCCACAACACAAGCAGCCGTCCTCAGGTGGAGAACAGGTCTGTCGAGAAGACAGACCATTCTACGTGACTTTACCGAAAGAACCAAGAAGAATTAGGCAGATTGTCACCTGTTTTACAGGCAAGATGGTCACCTGATTACATATAAAAATTATCAAAACTATTTATAGAGATGGAACAGCAACACCGAGATTGCAATTGGATGTTTAATCAATACATAAAAAGATTAAAAACACAGAAAGAGAGCCAAGAAAGGAGATGTACTGTCCCCAAAGCTATTTACAGCAACGCGAGAAGCTACTTATACAAACAACATTCGTTGGACAAATAAAGGGCTTGAGAGCGTACATATAGAGTATTGCGAATATATTAACGACAAAGTCATAACCGATAGTTTCATACAATTAATTTTATATGCTGCAGGAATGATAGTCCCGTTTAGCTAGTTGTCCGGCTATTTTACACGGGAGATTCGTGGTGCTGCATGAGCACAGCAGCAAACAATTGCAAACAACAACACAGGAGGTATTTAACGGTCATAGAAGAAAAACATTGAAAAAAAGTGCAAATATAATGAGAGCAAGAGGCTCCAGAAAAGATTTGGCAACTAATCTATGTTTTAGTTAAATAGTGACATGAACACACACGAATTGATAGAGACAGTGCAAATATGCGGGAGCAAGAGGCTCCAGAAATACATTAGGTCCAGGTGCAAGTAAGTGCCGTGTGTGTTTGGCCTAATAGGCAAATAAAGAGGGGGGGGGGTGAAGGGAGGGAACCAGGTTGTTGATGAGTGGCGAGGGTCTTCCAGAGGATGTGGAGCAGGAATGCTTTTTTTACGAAACAAAGTTTCAGCAAACGGAATGTTTGGTAGGAATAAGGGGACACTTCTGAGGCTAAGGGAGTTAGAGAAACTAAGTGGTTCTTAGTTAATTGGTGAATTTGTTTAATGACCTTAAGGATGAAAACAGCCCAGTCAATGGTGATCTCTGGATATCCAGGGTCGACAGATTTGAGAATGTACAATTTGCAATGATAAGTTATATAGGGGGTAAAAAGGACAAAACTGAGAGCTCAGTAGTATAATGATGGTTACACAACTACAGGATATTTTTGAAGATCTTATCAAAGAAGACTAATATAGGCGCGTGCATGCGGAGTGCGTAGACGGTGCCCGCCCGCAGCCCCGACATGGTGGCACCGCGAGCCTCGGCCCTCACCAACGTGTGCTTCTGCTTCTCCGAATTCTCGTGGCAGCACCTGAGTTCGTATTCCAAAATGATTTCATTTGAGTTCACCACATGACAGCGTGAGATTGTTCTGTGTCTCCCTTTCCTTCTGAACCACCAGGATCTCAGAAGGCTCAGCCTGGCTGGTGGTGAGTGACACGGACACAGCCTCAGGCGGTATGGGGTTGAGTCGGGAGACCCCGTTGAGTGCCTTGATGTGAAAGCTGTAGTTGGTGTGTGCCAGTAGGCGCACGACGGTGACGCCATGCACCGTGAGGCCCTCGTGCCCCGGCAGGAAGTGCACGCCGTCACCGCACAGGAGCGCACGCCAGCGGCGGTGTTGTCGTCAACGTCATCATCGCCACTGCTGCGGCCGCTGCGTCCCTGCCCCTGCCACCGCAGGTGTGGCACAGGAGGTGAACGATGACGTCCAGGGGGGGCTCCACTCCAACAATGCCGATGACGGCATCACTCCCAGCCTCGTAATAGCTGGCCTCATGGAGACAGCGTGCAGGTGTCTTCTGTATTGCAGGTGTCTTCTGTATTGCTCCGGGCACAGGGTGCAGCGCTCGTCCCCCACCACTTATAATAGCTGAGGGGACAAGCTGTGCAGATGCCACCGTTGACCTCGTAGCCCGGGCAGCACACGTGTTGCCCGATAGGCATGAGCCACTCGCCATCCTTGCTGCAGTATATCCTGGGGTCATCGCTGGCCACCACGTTGAGCACGCACGAGCCGGCCACTTCGACGAGTGAGGACGACCCTTTAGCAGGTAAGGTAAAAGGTAGAAAGCAACGAGCCTACTTTTACCCTACCTTTTACCCTTACCCCATAAAAATTACACGATTACAGGGTAATTACTGGGGTACTACTTAATTCATATAGAATACTCTCGATGATTCCAATTTTACACGCTTTCTTTGAACTCACTCTGTCTGTTGTTGTTGTCGTATCCTCAACTCTTGTAACTAAATTTTAACCCACTTCCCAATGTGGTATCGACTGCAAACTTGGTATACTTATGTCATACTGATGACAACACTATATTCTATCATAAAAAAATAAATGTTTTTAAACATTCCAATTTTTATATTTTATGTTTCGGCTTGCGTCTAATTGTCCACGCTCAACTGACGTTGGCTGTAAATCACAACGGTCCCTTACGTTATGGCAAGCTTCGGGGCCATTCCTGGAGTCGTGGAGTTCTGCCATTACAAGTACATGTAATAAAAGCGTGTTTTAAAGAAAGTTTTTTTTATATTGCTTATTAAATGAAGGTCACGGACTGCGCTACGGAACTTTTAGCGGTAAACAAGGTACTGTATTTACCGGGTAATACTTCGCGCTACCTTTATCCTACCCTTTACCTTACCCCTTGGCATGTCGACACCTTTACCCTTTTACCTGGTAAAAAGGGTAAATTACCTTACCTTTCCGAGGCCTACTCCCCACGACGACCTTGTGTGCGTCACGTGGTCCCCCTTAAAAACCCTCTCAGCAGCTCCTCCCCCCAGCTCGGCCCCGCCCACTTTCCCGAAAGTGTTTTCCGAAAGTCCCTCTCCATAACCCGTGATGTTACGTCATCCTTGGCCTCGCATACCTCTCCAACTCACACTTGCTTACGCTCATCATCCCTCATTGGCTACTCGCAGTACTCCTCTGCACAGATAAGCCTATACCGGCTACAATAGCTATTGGTTAAGGATGATGATATTTATTATTGTGCCTGCTGCTAATTAATAGTGCTAATGGTTTTGAATAAGCGTGATAAAAATAAACAACGTTTATGTTCTATATAGAACAATGTAGAACAATGCAATGTTCTATATGCGTGATAAAAAAAGGGTTAACCTGGTGGCTAAAAGCACACAATGATTCTGTGTTTTAAGATGCAATACTCGTAGAGCCCAAGGCAATCTTGATAGGTTACGAAGAGGTTGCAGGATGCATTCCGCAAGCGCGTCTGGGTGGATGCCCCTATTGTACTCATTAAAACGGAGTTGAAATAGTTCAGAATCAGCTGGAAATGGGAATTAACGGACATAACCATATAATTTATGTTACCAGAAGTCTGTGGAAATGGTATTGGATCACAACCAATGGCGGAGCCAGGATTTTCAGGTAGGGGGGCAACCCCTCCAGCAATGAAAAATGATAGGAGTTGTTACTAAGGACTTGTCCTTTGCTTTTTATTCGACGCGGGTGTGGCGATGGCGCAGCCATCGTTCGAGGGTCGAATTCGAACCGTGTGTGATCGGCATCGCGCTCGCTGAAGGTGTTTGCCTTCAGGGAAGTCGTGTACTATATATGCAAACTGCGCACAATTATGAGTTACTTATAACTGCTTTGCCGTTACTTATTGCCAATTATTGACTCAGACTATTGTCCTATAATTTCATAGAGTCCCTGGCACGTAATAATATGTTATACAGTGGCAGTGGGGGTCGCCAAATGCCGATTTATTACTAATAAACCCCAATAATCCGAACGAAAGTAGGGATTTAGATCGGATCATTGGGTGGCACGTGTCACCCCACCCCCACTGGCTCTGCCAGTGATCACAACAGCCCTTGCGATAAACCATAAATAAAGCTAAATATACCAAAATAAAAGTATATCTGTGTTTCGTGTATTTATTATGCATTGATATTTACATAACAGCCCACGGTGCCTGGCATATGGAAAGCATAATAAGTCATTTATCATAGCTTTTGCTGTTTGCTGTATTAAGTCGTGCTGTAAAGTATTTATGTAAATGAAATTTTAATCCTATTTAAAGTGTAGCGTGCATTATGCTGTCGACAGAATTACGGTATGAAAGGAAATATGGCTATCTCACTTGCAAATCCTGTGCAAAATACTTTTACACAAACAAATAACCGGGAGAGCCTCCTCCAGAGTTTTGCCGAAGGATCTGACTTCTGTATCTTCTCACGTTGCTTAAGGCAGCAGCACACGATGGTTTTAAATGTAACGAAATAAGTCCTAAAAATTCTGGTTAAACTTATTTAAATTGTTTAATTTGTTCATGCTTCCTTACATAATCACAAGTTGATATTATCGGAACGTTTGTAGGCTCAAGGACATTTTGTGCTGACAGAAATTCAGGCTTAAAATGTGCTTCACCGAGCAAGGATGCCTGCTTGTGGTATTTGTACAGTTTCTGTTAAAATATATACGCAAACGTATGTTAACAATTATCTGCCAGTAAGTTTAATTTAGCACTTACATCACAATGTCCCCCAATGGTACTTAAAAACCCGTCAATTAAAAAAAAAAGTATTTTATGCCTCTTTCCGCCTCTCATTTTCTATCAGTTTATAAATTGCGCAGTTACACTTCTGAGCGCCTATCTCGTCGATCTATTTTTAAGGCAACTGCCATCACCAAATTGGTAGGATTACACTTGCCTAATACCGGTCCATAAAATTCGGGGTTCTAAGAAATTGCAACATCTCAAACTTTCCCATACGAAAGCTCATGCTGCGTACGCGGAGCAACGCTTTCGGTAAACACTGCCCAGGTCTGCATGCTGTGCTTTCATGCTTTCATAAAGCACAGCATCCGGAGCCGATTACCCCTGCAGCTTCGGAAACGCAACGCTTGTGGACAGGCTCTTCTCAGCTCTCCCTGGTAGACAGGGTAGCAGAGATTACATTTGACCAATGAGCACAAAACCAGTACCTCCATCACAAAGTCTTTTTTTTTGTAATGGATTCTTGTTTAAATGTAATTCGTGTTTAGCTGTTTTAAAAAAAAGTCTCAATAGTTTTTTTAATCTCAAAACTGTTTACTGTTTTTGGCTCAGTCCTCTTACAATTTAATGTCATGTAATAACAAATAAAGAGTTATTTTGGTCCCAAGAGTACCAACATCTTTCGTAACATTTCAGAATATTTTTATTGCAATTAAAATTACCTTTATATGCATGCTAAAATGTATTTTTTTTCACTTTACCGTTTGTTAAAAGAAAGAAATATGTCAAGTCAATGTCCTAGTGGTCATCTGATACCAAACGACTGTTGTGCATTATGGAAATTACCAAGATTTTCTTTCCAATTGATGGGCACTAACCTTTAACAGACATGGTATGGTTTTAAAAGGATGGCTTCTTTAGATCAGTGAAACGAAATGCAAACATATTTCACACTGCCACAAATTTTCCTTTAAAAAAAAGACCGTTGCTCCAACATTCTTGCCCGATGAAGCTGATTGTAATTATCAGCGAAACGTCGTACTCAAATTTTTAAATGCTGTTGATTCTATCTTCAAAACACCGGTGGGCTAAAGAAGTGAATTATTTTGTCCTTTGAAAAACGTGCAAATTTTTTACTGTTTGGCCGTGCCAGGTGATGGAAGGTTACGACACATTTATAAATAACGCGATCTGACCCAAAAACCTATATTATGAGTAATGTTTTAATAGGCAATTTTTTAAAAGTTTTTTCACTATCTCTTTTGGCAAATGTATACATTTGCTTAAAAAGCAAACTGACCACATGATAACAGATCGGTGCGTCAACTAATAAGGAGGAACATAATGTGATGTTTCAAAAAAGAGGTCAAGAGGAATGCAAATTGTTATTTTAATCAAACTTACGATATAATTGGGACCTTAACATAAACGTGCTGAATTAGCACATAAATGCAGTCAATGCATCTCAGAATAATATAGTCTAAAAATGTATCCCAGCAGACAGCTACTTATTAGTTTGGATCCTATATATATATCTGTATCCCAGTTTTCATATACAGTATACATTATCTACAAATATATTTGACATTAAAGCAGAAGCTACCGATCGAATAAGTCATGACATGTGGAAATTGACATCGCTTGTGGATTACAATTTTCCATTTTATGCACAAGCAAGAAATACAGCGGTGACACGTGACATCGTGTTGAGTGCTGCCTGCGTGGTGAGCAATTAGGAGAGATGCATCAACACAAAGCCAGCACGCATGGTGTTTCCACATACACGAGCGTGTGAAGAATGATACATTTAAGAAAAATGCCTTCACACTAAGTGCGTTCAAGAACGATTGAGTGTAAATAGAGCCAGAGGAGATCCACTTGTCAACTAACTTATCAAAGATCCCTAGACTATCCGAAGAAACTTTTAAAGCAGTCCTGCATGGCTGGTTCATTTTTGCAAAACACCTTCACCATTTTTGGAATCTGCAGACTATCGAAGCTGATTTGGTAACTTGGTTCGTCGAGTATGACATCTTAATGAATACGTGTCTTCATATTTTATCCACAAGTCTAAATTGCATTGCCAGGTCCCTCTCGGGACCTGGCTTATATTATCTGTGGCATGGCCGGCTCTGCCCTTGGCCACGTCCACCTTCCAGAATCCTCGGGAAGGATCTGAGTCCCAATCATGTGACCACACCCAGC